ATGTATAAGCTTCAGAAGGTACAGTATAAGAACATTAATTTTGGAAAAGCAGAAGTGTTTAGGTTAACAGAAAAACAACTTGCTTTAATGAGGTCAGTGTGTAAAAATAAGTGACAATCCATCAGAGAGAGTTTTCCTACTTGTTTATGTACAAAAGAGCAGATGTTCAAAATATATAGACCCGTAGTAATGAGAACAGTGCATTCATTGTTGGAAACTTCATCTCTCCTTTCTCTGCAGTGGACAGGACCCGGCCAAAAATCAGCAAGGCTATTGGAGAACTCAGCAGTACCATTAATGTATAGGATCTAATGAATATTTGTATAACATTCCACTTAAAGCCAGCTGAATACATATTTCAAGTATTGACAATATACTATTTGTAAAGATCATTATATGAGTATTATATTTGCTGCCATAATAAATTATCAAAAGTAGTATATTTCAGCTGAGTTTCTGGTATTTAAAATATAGTTGTACTTCAGTTTTATCTCATTCTCACAATCATGATCTTTGTACTACTGGATAATTTTTCATGATGCTATTGTGAATGGTATTGTTTTACTAATTTTTTGTAGGTGAGTTTATTAATGTGCAGGACTACTACTGATTTTTTGTGTGTACTTCTTTTTTCATTTTATGTAAGTGGTACAGGGTCTCATTATGCCTCTAGTACTTGTAGTAATCCTCCTGTTTTCAGCCTCCCTAGTGCTGGGATTACAGGCATGCGCCACCAGGCCCAGACTAGGTCACCAGCTTAGTACATCCCAGGGCCTATTTTGGCATGACATGCAGTTCTGAGGATCACTCCCTGGTCCCTGCACTTGCCAAAGCAGTTGCTTAGTTTGCTGAGCTATATCGCCAGCCCTTTGTGTGTACATTTTGTATACTGTTAGTTACCAAAATTTGGTTAATTGTAGGAGTGGTTTGTGAACTTTTTTGGGTCTTCAATGTAGAGGATCATGTCTTCTGCAAACAATGATAATTTGATTTTTTATATTCCTCTCATAAATATCCCTTTTATTTCTTTTTATTTCCTGATTTCTTTTTCTAACATTTTGAGTAAATATTGAATAGGACAGGTGATACTGGAAATCCTTGTCTTGATACTGATTTTAGAGAGAAACCTTTTTGCTTTTCCCCATTTAATATTATTCTGGTGGTAATTTTGTAATAAATGACTTTTATCAAATGGAGTTAAGTTTCTGATATGTCTAGAGAATTTTGTCAGGAACAAAGGTTGGCTTTTGTCAAAAGTTTTTTTTCCAGAATATCAAAAGAAAAAATCCTGAACTCTGAAGAACCAATGCAAAAAACGAAATGAATCTAAAAAATTTGCTCTGTGTTTTAAAAAAAATTTAAGCAATTATTTATTTTGTTACATTGTGTCACCACGCAGTGTCCCACTCCCAATCTTGGCCTCGCCAGCCCTGGGATTACAGACTGGCATGGCATGTGGTCCCAAGGATTGAACCCCCATCCTTGTACTTGCTAGGCAGGTGCTTAGTCTGCCCAGCCCTCCTCTGTGTCTTTCATTGAGTCTTTTCTTTCCACATTCTGCAATCTTGGAATTTAGCAGATACGGGGGAGGAATAGAAAGTTGCGTCTAGGCTCTATTTTATTTTCATACTTAAGATTTTTCATGTGAATGCTGGATCATGCCTCATTTTCCTGCTTGGTGTAGGCAATGAATGGTGTCCACTCTAAAGCTATGGTCATTCTGGCAGCTCCCAGTTTATGTGTCCTTTTTTCCACCTCACAGTGTTTCTTTTTTTCTGTCTAGCTTTATAGCCTAAGTGTTTGTCAAGTGTCCCTCTAGTCCAGGAGGCCCTTCTTTTCCTGTACCTCAGGCCATGATAGTCTTTCAGGCTAAACTATACCCTTGCTCATGCTGGTAGATGGGAAAAGCAAACACCATTTATGGACTTCTATGCTGGATGTAGGTAGGAGGGTAGGTAGGGTGGTCTAGCCATCTGTTGCACTTAATGCCAGCACTTTCAGACCCAACTTCTTTTGGAAGCCACATAGGACCAACCTACCTTCTTACCACAGAAACTGGAGCTTCTTTGTCTTTCTGCACCTAACTTAAACTTTCCAGCTTCTATATCTAGAGTGTATATTCTCTGGGATTAACTTGTTTGCTCCTACCCAGTCACTATGGCAGGCTGACACCATAAATCCTGAAGTATGTCAGCTGTGCATTTGTTCTTTGGCTTTGTCTCAAACAATTAACTCTTTCTCAAAATGACCTTCTTAAACCCTCTCAATAAGGCAGGCTGTGTCCTTTCCTTCCTCCTTAACTCCAGCTTGCCTTTGGAAGAAATCACTTTCAGAGTAAAAGACTATATTATGTTTGCATTTTATAGCCATTTCTGGGGCCAGTGCTGTTGGCCTACTTTGCTGTCTGTCTCTGAAGCCACTATTTCTTTCTGGGCTTGCCTTGTATCAGTAGAGGTGAAATTCTCTCCTAGGGAGCTGAGGTGAGCCTTCCAGACTGCCTCATTCCTTTCTCTGCAGTGTGCTTTATCTTTTCAACTTTTGGAAAATTTCTAGTCTTGCTGTCAGTTTCCTCCTGTTTCCCAGCAATTTATCTCTTTCCTTTTTTCCATTAAATTGTTGTCTTAACAATAGTGAGGTTATAGTTTGCTGTGTGTCTCTTCTTTCTGTCTTGCACCCTCATGTTGTTATGTTTCTTGTGACCCTCACAAGAGGCCTAATACAGGCCATCTTACCTTGGAGATTTTTGGGCCTCTAAATTGTTGACTAATTCTCTTTTCTTACAAATTCCTAGCCTCAGGTATTTTGTTATACCCAAAGGAAATGGACTAATGCAGTTTGGTGACCAGACTATAATCCTTATCTGTCAGCAGACAGTCCATGTTTTTACCTAATATAAATATTCCTATTAAAAATATTTTCAGACATGTTTCTGCATGGAGTACTGCTTTCACTTATCATGTGTATATTCCTAGGAATGGAATAGATATGTGTTATGGGAGTTTAGCTTTTTGAGGAACTTAAATACAACTTTCCAGAACTCTTTTACCATTTTGCATTTCCAGTGGTAGTACATGAGGGCTTCAGGTTCTCCACAGTCTTTCCAGAAATTGTTAATTATCTATATTTTTGAGACCCACTGCCTTAGTGAGTATATAGTGAGTGCTTCATTTGCATTTCCTTAGTGACCAGTAGGGTTAATTATCATTTTATTTGTTGATTAGACTTCTGTATATCATCTTTGGACAAATGTTAATTCAGATATTCTGTACCCCCTCTTCCTGGGCTTTTATGAATAAGAAAGTTTTGATAGAACAGTTTTAAGTTCATGACAAAATGGAATGGAAAGTGCAGCGAATTCCCTATAGATTTTCTGTCTTCACAAGTAAACAGCTTTTCCCGCTGTACATAGTTTACAGCAGAGTTTGCTTTTGGTGTTGTACATTCTATAGCAGTGATGATTAGAAATTCAATGATGTGAACAGCCTGCTACGGCATGTGTATTATAGGCTCTTCATTATTTAATAGGTTTAGACAAGTGTGTAATGATATGTATCCATTGTTGTGTCTTACAGAACTGTTTTATTTTTCTATAATCCTCTGTACTTTACCTGTTTCCTTTTCTGTTAACCTCTAGCAACTGCTAATCTTTTAAAATGTTTCACTAGTTTTCCCTCTTCCAGAATGTTGTACAGTTGATGTCTTTTTGTGATTTCGTGGAACTTCGTGGCTTTTTAATGCTGAGTAGTATTTTCTTTTCTGCATGTTCCAGATTCATTTATACATATATCTATCAAAGGGCATTTTGATTGCTCTCAACTTTTGTCAATTATAAATAAAGTGATTGTAAACATTTTTGTATGTTTTTGCATGAGCCATGTATTTACAATGGTCCCTTTATCACTGTAATACAATGCCTTTAACTCTTTTGGGAAGGTACTTAGAAAATATTTGGATCAAATACAAGTTCTATTTTCAGTTGTTTGAGTAATCTATATTGAAGTTCACACTTTGAAAATTTCAATGAAGACAGTTCCTCAAATATATAGCTAAATGTGATTTAATTTCACACCATTCTTAAACTTCTACATACTAAAATTCATATACAAAATAGTTAGGATAGATATACAGTTACCTTCTATTAGTCCAATGAGAAGAAAGGTTTATACTAATAATGTTTGGACAAGATACCATTTCCGCATCTTGTCCTCTGGACAACTACTATGAAGACAACAATATGTGATATATTAATTACTGCAACTGTCATGCTAACCTGTTTGAAACTGTTTCATTGCTATTTTTTCCCCATGAAAATGAATAAAAAATTAAAAAAATTTAAAATGATTAATCAAAAATAAAAACAATTTTCTGGCCATGACACCTTGACTTCCATTCTTTACTTCTTCAGGCAAGGTCTATTGGTAAATACTCTTGAGTGAGCAAAATCTATTTCTCTGCTGGACAGTGTTCTAACCAAGGCTGCCATGTGGTTAACATGTAAAATGTTCAGGTGATACCTCTGTTGTCTTGGGTAGGGCCCTAAGGATATAGGCAGACCACCTGGTTTGAGTTCCAGCCTGTTGCACATCTGTAGGACTTCGAAATTCCCATGTATAAAATGGGGCTTATTATTTTTTTTGTAGAATGATTGTGGAATTTTGTTTTATGAAAGGTGAGGAAATATGTAATCCATTTCATAAAACGAAGGTTAACAAATATGTAAGAAGATACTTTTTTAAGAGTATAATTAAGTGGTTTGAGGTCTTCCAGGTTTTGGGTGAAACAGGTCAGAGAGGAAATTGATTGAAGAAAAAACAAGTCTCCTAATTTTTCAAGGGACTTCATGAAACTATTTCTTCTCCTCCATCTTTAATTTGTTTTACTTGTTCAAATTTTTTTACTGGAGCACGGATCTTTGCTTTTCTCTCATTTACTCTAACAGATGAGAAAATTGGTGAAAATATCATGATGTTGACCCTTTGTCCTGTTTTTCTTCTTTACAGATTACTCCTCTGCTGTTCAGAAGTTTTCCCAGACATTACAATCATTTCAGTTTAATTTCATTGGAGACACTCTGACTGATGATGAGATTAACATTGGTAAGTCTCAACTCCACATGGCCTTGTGCTTTTCCATGTAGGACTGAGGCTGTGGAAGCCCTTACTGTGTGGGCGCAGAGCACTTTATCCACTGTGGAATAGTGTTAAACTCCTTAGGAAAGATAAGGAAATCTTTCCTGCCAGTGCCATTTCTGCCTTACACAAAGGCAGCTAAGGCGTCTTGTAAACTTTCACTGAGGGCTTCTGACTCAGTCTGCAGGAAGAACTTTTCTTTAAACCATCTAACACATGGACCCAGATATTTTTGTAAAAGACAAAGAATAATTTGTGTTTTTTTCCAGAATGATTCAGCGTAAGATTCCTCTAAGAAACAAATTCCCCTGGAAATTTTAAAACTAGCATTTATCTCAGTATAGCTCTTTAGCCAACAGGAGTTCTGAAGCCTCTTTTGGGACTTGGATATAATAAAAATGCTTTATTAGCTGTGTGATGTTTGGCCAATATATTTATTCTCTGTAAGTCTCCATCTTGTCTTCTGTAAAATGGACCTTATGCTTTTATCTCTCTCAAGAATATTATAAACAGCAGATTAAATAATGGAAGAAAAAAGAACTCTGTTTGTTTTAGTTGTTATGAAGTTAAGCAAAATTCAACAAACTATAGCCATTTAGCCAAATGTAGCTCATGACCTGTTTTTGTACATAAAGTTTTATTGGAATGCAGAGACACTTATTCCTGTAAGTATCATCTATGGATATTTCCCACAGCACACCTGCAGCATTATCTAGCATTAATAGTGACTAGTTGGCCCTCAAAGCCTGAAGTATTTACTTCCTGACTTGTTAACAAAAAATTGCTGACCCTTGAGTAAGAGGTAGTTTAAAACATTCTGCCAGATTAGAACACTGAATCACAGACCTATTAAGAATGACCTAATGTTACTGGAAAAAGTTGGTGATGCAGTCATATTTATATTGCTGTAAAAACTAAATATAAAATATATTGTTAATAAATGCTCACTGTAGTACATTTAATGTATAAAAGCATGAAATTACTTATGATAAAAGGATATTCTAGCAAAAGCAGTATTTTAGATGTACTCATATGTTCTTTTTTCTAAAAAAATATGGAATATAAAATAGTACTAAAACAAAAATTAGAAGTGATCCAGAATTTTACTTACCAAAGTAATAGGAATTTCACAGCATTCATTGTAATGTATGCTGTTGTCTTCCAACTGATTATTCATATTACCAGATAACTGCATGCAAAATTGGAAGAAAGAAGAAAAGAAATATGTAAGAAATTAAGAGAAGAAAAAGGAAAAGCAACAGAAAAAAGGAGACGAAACAATTTAAGCCTTAATTGCACCTGTCCATAGACCAGCAGAAATGCACAGCACAGTTGTCCAAACCATCCTACTTACATACATAGATATATCTCTTTACTCCCTCTCCTGTCCTTTTCATATATTGTTTTCCTAAACATGTATCTGTTTTCTTTGTATGAAATTTAGTTTACACTAAATACCTAATGTTATCTTTTTTTTTTTCTTTCTGGAACTGGGGATTGAACTCAGGCCCTTGCGCTTGCCAGGGAAGCACTTATTCTACTGAGCCATCTCCCCGGTCCCCCTAATGTTATCTTTTTAACCTAATATTGTATCAAATGTTTTCACAGATTATATAATTTTTTTTGAAGTTTCATGGTAGAGAAGGACATTGTCTTATTCACATCTATCTTCTAATGTATAGGGTGCCTAACATATAATAGATGCTCAGTACCTGTTTGTTAAATGAATGAATAATGAATACATTTGCACTTTATTATTATAATAGCTGTACTTTATTTAATATTTATTTATGGAAATTTATTTTTAATTGTTTACCATTACAAATACTATTGCAGTGCATTCTTTTATAAAGAGTACAGTTGTGAGGGATATTCAGATTATATCCTGAATTTTAGTCCTGTTATTATCAGAATAGGGTGTTTATCAGGTGAACCGCAATAGTGGTTGGCTTCTGTGTACCTTCTTGCTATAACTTCCCCAGAAATTGACATCACTAGGTTTTAGTAGGTTGCTTGTTTAAGAACAGTATTTCTAATCTTAAACTGTAAGTCATGTTTCTGCTGTAGTCCTCTAAGTATATATGTATATGTATTTAGTATAGAGTCTCACTATGTAGCTCGGACTCATAGTGATCCTCCTGTTTTCAGCCTCCCCAGTGCTGGGATTATGGGCCAGGCATGTGGTGCTGGGGATGGAACCCCAGTCCCTGTGCTTGCCAAAGCAGGAGCTTAGTCCACTGAGCTATGTCACCGGTCCCATTTTACCTTAGCGTATTTGAAGAAGGTCCTTTGTAACCACAACAATTAACGTCAAATTTGGAGACAGAGATTTCCACCAGCCACCTGTTTCTGCTGTGTGTAAGTTCAGGAATCAGGCAGAGTTGGACATCATCTGTTCAACTAGCTCCACATGAATATTTCGTTGCTACACAACCCATGGAAGATCAACATTGTCAGTGGTCTAATACTTGCAAAGCAGAGCATAACCCAGAATATTTCAGCATGGCAGTGTCAGCTCATGGGCTATTTGAGGTGACGTAAAGGCATTTGACTGAAGAGGATGGCAGAATGAGAGATTGATAGCCTCACTGTGTTTTATTCTCATGGGCTTTTTATGCCCTCCTGATGTATTCTTCCATCTCACTAACCTGGAGACTGATGTTTTGGTACCAGTCAGGGTCAAATAAGTGATATGAAATGATTCTAATAGATTGCTGGCATTGACCGCAAGATTGGGTGAAGCAATTGTCAGTTCTTAAGAGCATCCTTTAGAAGGCGCAGACTTCAAGCCTGTTTGCCATTTATTCCTTCTCTACCAAAGGTCACCCTGATTTTGAAAACTCCTCCCTCTAAACTTTCCTCTTATATTGGTAGTAACACCTTGGTCCACTTTTCCTAATGGGAGGATGGTCAGAATTAGACACATGGCATAGAGGTTGGGCGACCCTAGATTCAGACAGTGGGCTGTCTGTTTATTAGATGTATGATTGGAAGTTTTCTTTTAAAAAAATGAAAATTGAGTTTTTGGTTATCTTTAAATTATTAACTAAATATCATTTATTACAAAAATATGAAAATTGAGAAAAAGATTAGTAGTCATCATTTGGTGTCTACTATATGATACTGTGGGTAAGTAAATTAGAGGTGAAAGGGTTAAGAAAGTTGCCCAGAATCACTTAGTGAGTGGGTAGTTTGTTTGTATGTTTATTTATTTACTTTGCAGCATTGGGGATTGCATTCTGGACAGGCACTTAAGCCGCTGAGCTGTCCTCCCCAGCCCATGAATGGGTAGTTTAAATGGGATTTTAAATAAATTTATCATGACTTTACACTTTATATATGTATGCTTTCCATAAAGAACTGTGTCTAGGGCTGGCAGGATAGCTCAGCAGTTTAAAGTGCCTGCTTAGGCAAGGCAGGGACCATGGTTTGATCCCTGTCACCACATGCCACACCAACCCTGCCCCCAGGGTGGGCTAAGCCAGCCATAAAAACGAAACTGTGTTTATGTGTCATAGTAATTCATATTTGGTTAACAATGTATCAGCAATATTCCTTGCGTCCTCTCTTTTGTCCTATTTTTGGTTTAACAATAATTTTTTATGCACTTACATGTATATATGTATTATGTATGTATATATACGATTTTTATGTATGAAATTTTATGTTCTGCTTGTTTCATGTGAGAACATAGACATTTTTCTATGTTCCTATAAAATTTTAACAACTATAATAGTCCATTGACTGCAGATACTTAATCCGTTTTCATTTGCTACACATTTGCTTTCAATTATTTATTATCAGTAATAGTATTGATTGCCTATTTTGGCCTTAAATTTTGTCCTCCTGTAATCAGGATTAGGTTTTAGGCATGGTTTCCCAGAAGTGAATGTATGCAGTAAAAGCTATAAATAATTTTAAGCCTTTCAATCAATATTATCAACTTTTATTGGAAATTGATGACACTTTGGGAAGACATTGTACAACAGTGTTGGAAAATTTATTTGACCTTTCTGAACCTCAGTTTTTTTATCACTAAAAGTGTAATGATGAATGTTATAAAACCTGAGAATGCTTGCGTTTCTCACTTTTTTTTTTTTACCTTTTTCATATTCTTTTTCTTGAAATTTTTTTAGGGATAGTGTCTCAGTTACTCTTCTCTCAATGCTCGGACAAATACCCACCACCTAAAATGAAGGAAGCAAAGGTTTATTAACTCATAGTTAGTGGAGGTTTCAGTCCGTACTCAGCTGGCTCCAAGGGAGAGTGGTACATGGCAGAGAGCAGCAGCAAAGAGCAAGAGAGCAAAGGGAGTGGCAGCAGCTCAGGCAGCTTGCTAGCCTCTCTCCCCTCCTTACATTGTAATACAGAGTATCTGCCCCAGGACACTCACACCCATAATCCTAGCACTGGATCAAGAATCAACCACAAACTTCAGAAGTGGCTTCGTGTTTGCATGAGGTTTTGCGGAGGACACCTAGCCACAAACCGTAGCAGAATAGTTAACTCTTGCTGGGTCTCCCTTTAGTATTCTAGCACTGCTGGACATTATTGTAGCATACTGCAGTCAGTTTTGTTTTTAAATTTTCTTGCTGGTGGTGCTAGTGAGATAGGTGTTGATGGTAGTGTTAGTTGTGTTCATATAGGCTTGTTTTCTTCCTTTTCTTAACCAGTTTTCTTGTATCATTCTTCTCTGAGGAGAGAACAAGATCTAAGCTCTTCATTTTTTTCTCTTTAGTGACTATTCTGTCCCCTAACACTCTAACAGATAATTGGATCTTACAAAAGCTTTTATTTTCTTCCCATTTACTCTAGAGAAATGTTTGCAAGTTTACCTCTCAGATTGTGCCATGGTAATTCATATTTGGTTAAAAATGTATCAGTAATATTCCTTGTCTAACCTCATGGCACTCAAGAAAAAACCATTGTACAAATCTTGTGCCCTTGCTCTTCAAACATTTTCTGAC